GATGGTTGTCCTAAAATTGATCCGCAATATTTTGGCTTCCTGGATCCGGATCCGCAAAAATATGCGGATCCACGGATCCGGATCCAAGGGGTAAAATATCAACCAAAAACTGCAAAAAAAACAAATCTGAACTTTTGAAAGAGAGATTATAAAAAGTTCCTCATTTCTGAATGGTTCATCAAGTTTTAGGATAAAAATAAGCGAAAATAAAAAATGTAAAATTTGAAAATTATTTTTTGTTAAAAAAATTCAGTAAATCTTAAAAAAATGACCTGGATCCGGACCGGATCCATTTTTTCCTGTGCGGATCCAGGATCCGGATCCGCATCAAAATTAAATGGATCCTAAGCATTGGTTGAGAGTCTTGGGATCAATCATTGATACCCCGTGTTGGATCATTCCAAGCAGTGATAACTAAATTGAAGAGATCAAGCATTAATCTTCAAGTTAGAATTGTTCACATTGGATATCGAGATCAGGCGATAAAAATACGTTCTGAACTCTGGACAAACTGTTAATATAAATAATATTTCAGGGATTCCCCACCATCAAACTTTTCAAGAAAGGAGATAACAAGGTTGTAGACTATAACGGAGAGAGAACTCTAGAAGGTTAGCAAGTTTTATTTAAGTTGTGAAGTTAAAAAATTTATTTTTTATTTCTTGAAAATCTGATTTATAGTTACTTTGATATTTTTTGTAAAAGATTGTAATTTTAGTTTTTACAGAGAAAAGAGTTTATTTTTTTATTTCTCTTATGTCACATTTATATTTGTGGATTATAATTTGTAGTTTAATAGTAATATTAGAGAAAGGGGGTTTTATTTGTTTTTCATAAAGAGAAATTTTAAGTTATTGGTTTCTTAGTTTTATTAATAACATGAACGGCGTTTCATGTTATATTTTTAATAAGATGGATTGAAAGTCTCATATTAGTAAATTTAATCTTATTATTGATAATATTGGTTTAATTTATTCTTGTTTTATTGAACAGGTATGACTAAGTTCCTTGAATCTGGAGGTGTTGATGGTGCTGCTGCTGCTGATGATGACGACGAGACTGGTCACGACGAACTGTAAATCGTCGGTTCGTCTGTTGTTCGCCTGCATCGGCGATGGCTTATAAATATAACGTGTTAGTATGGTGGAATCTCATCCCCCATGTTTTAGTGATATTTAATTTCACATATTTTACCCCTTTTCTTCAGCCAGGGCTTCCGTTGAAAACTTGGACATTTTTCATGTTGAAAAATGTTTATTAAATGATCTGGGATGTCTCTTCTTTTGTTATTTTGTTATGGCTATTAATGTATTTTGGGTGGGAGTTATTTAAATTTCTGGGGTTCCGGGTGAATGAATGCAGTACTTATTTTTATATTCATTGAACTGAGGTTAATTTTCAAATTTACAAAAATTTTACAAAAAGCAAAAACTCGATAAAATGAGATCTTACAGTTCCACAATGCATAATTTTTATGTACTCCAAATGTTACAAATGTGATTTTAATCCAGTTGTGAGAGTTAGCATTTTGTTAAGTATTTTTCTATCGCCTAAATTTATATTAAAAAACATTTTTACAGAGAACTATGTGATTTGTTCCCAAACTAAAAGAAGAGAATAAACGATGAAAACTATAGGAATGACTTTCACTTTTTTTCTAGTAATTTCTCATTTCTCACTAGTTAACCTTGTATTGACTAACAAAACAAATAGATAAAAGAAGTTGAAAGTTTGAATGAAAGAAGGCGTGGCACTTCTCCTGCTTGGGTTGGTTGGGGGCGGATCTGGATTGGCAGTGATGAGTGTGGATCTAGGAAGTGAATGGATGAAAGTGGCTGTAGTATCGGTAGGTTCTGATCATGTTTAAAGGGACTGTAAGTGTAATTTCAGGTGACCTTTAGTACAAAAAGTGAAGAGTCGACATACCACTGACATGAATTTTCAACTAATTTCGATAACTACATATTTAGCATCCAAATGGTCATCCATGAATGAAAGGGAGCTAAAAATGGTTGCATGGCTCAAACTTGGTCGTGTTGCTGGGATCATTTCGCCGAACTTTAACATTTAATTCATTAACGGCAAAATCCTTAGACAAATCCTGGCTGAGAAACCATCTCTCAGTCAGGACTTGAAACTCCAGGCTGTAGACTGCTCCAAACACATAATTTGATTTGATTGATTTACACGCTATTATATCTGTACTCGACAATCAAACCGTTTTAGGGGTACCGTTTTAAATTGCTCACATGAAATTACGTTTACAGTCTCTTTAAAAGGACTGTTTACTATTGTTTGGGAAGTTTGTGCTGGTGCACCTGTATTCTAGATCAACAAAAACCTTAGTTTTTAGCAAGAAAGAAGAAAATGTGTTTATTCGAAGCGAGAACAATGCTAATCGGGCATGCTAATTTGTAAATTGGGGGGGGGGGGGGGGCGGCATTTGAAACTAAATTAACAGTCTCTTCCCAGAGATGACTTAATGTAATTAAAAGGGTCCTTTCATTCAAAGTGTTATCCTATTTTACACTTTTTAAGTTTGAAATGAGGTTTTTCGATTGTCGTTCAAAGCTAACATGTTCGGAAATATGCTTATTTTATTATTAATAGTTCAGAAACGTAAAATGCATGAAAAACTAAATGTCAAATTACATACGCGGGGGAAGGCAGGCAGCCATGAGCCACCACTCTTTCCCCTTCCGTGCCACATATTAGCTTTTTTCTCATCCGGCAGCCATGAGCCATCACTATTTCCCCTTTCGTACCACCACATTTGACTCTTCCGGGCAAAACTACTTTTAAATGGTATATTTAGGGCCTTTTAAGTGTATTGCATCTTTTGAGTATTGCATCTTGAAATATCACAAAGTCTAATGATTATTCAATTACTGACTCATTATACTAAATTCATCTTAAAATCACTCATTAACCAACTTTGTGATATTTCAAGATGCAAATACTCAGTCAAATTTGTCAATAATTTCATTGTAAAACAGTTTCACAAAAAGTTTTAGATTTCCAATTTGTTATTTCCCACCATTGGCATTCCCTTTCAAATCACTGTGTAAAAAAGTTGAGACCCTGAGAACAGATGAAAGCAAAACCGAACTCGTAAAAAATCGGTTTTTGGTTCATTTACCCAGTGGTATCCGGATCTACTGAATGGATAGTGATCCAAGGCGCTAAATTAAGTTTTTTACGGCGTTATTGTTTTTCCTTTGTAACAGAGGTGTGTATTTTCTTTGAAAATCATCTCTCCCATCCCCCTCTTTGAAAATCATCTCTCCCAACACTCTCTTTGAAGTTTGGGATTGAAAATCATCTCTCCCAACCCTCTCTTTGAAGTTTGGGATGTCCCCGCGAAGCTGAATCCAGGAAAATCATTGATTAGGGGAAATAACTTAACTTTTAAGAAAAGCATCTAGAAGGATAAATTAAACTTGATTTCCAATTTTTCATTTGTTCCCCACATTTCATCAAATCATTTAAACTTAACACCCCTGTAGTTTTCCATGTAGGGCTATGTTAAGCTTTCTCAGAACAGATTAATTTAAATCGTATCTTTTCCTTTTCGACTTCTATTCCCATTATTAGATTTGCTGATATAGATTCTCAAAACCTTGTCATATAAACACACAAATAGAGCAAAAAACGCCCTCATGTAAACACAAAAATAAAGCAAAAATACCTAAATTAAGTACTTGTGCGTTGACTTTGTGTTTTTATGACGTTTTGAGAATATATATCAGCAAAGCTACTAATGGGAACAAACACAGAAGGATGGATAACGCGATTTACATAAAACCTGTTCTGAGAAGGCCTAACATAGCTTTACACGTCTGTTTTTCTTGATATATGGGTTTGAAGAAACATTCCACTTTGAAACAAAGCGAACTGCAGGGTGTCTCACGAAACAGGACGGTAGCAAGACAATTTGAAAGTCGGCTTTGAACTTTTTAATCTATTTGTGACAAGTTTTTGTGTTGTAAATATTACCGGAGATATTATGAATTTTGTTCAGAATAAATAAAACTAAATCAGAACAAAATTCTTCACATCTCCGAAAATATTAAAAGCACAGAAAAGGTAGGCCATATTTTTTTATCATTCAACTCGAGAATTTTGTTTTCAAAATTAGGTTTACAACTCAATGATGCAAAGATCAAAGGTGACCTTCAATTCGTCATGTTTCGTGGGACACCCTGTACCTTATCACATTTTTAATGAAATATCGTTCACATTTTTCTGTTTTCATGTCTAATAAACTTTATGTGACTCGCATCAAACATAACGCGTTTATTTCTGAGGGAGATATTTAACCAAGAATATATACACCCTTGATTGTTTGTCTTATGATCTTCATTTTGTATCTGTTTAGCCTGGCGTACCTATGGAGATTGCTCTAAACCCTGAATCTAAGCGTAAAACTAGCGTAGCAGTTAGTTTAAAGAACGGGGAGAGGAAGTTTGGTAGTGACGCGATGAACGTTTGCGTCAAAGAACCAAAGTAAGTATTCACAACCTATTAATCTTTTTTTCTGTCTCTCTTCGTCAAAGGGATTGTTTAACTATTTAAAAATAATGAAAGACTCGAAAATGGGGGATTAGGAATCTTGCTGCTTCGTATATAGTTGATACTTCATAATAGTTTTTTATTTTTATGATCTGACAGTTACTTTTGAAAATATTTATTCCTGTTTCGAGGATTATTGATAATGAAGACGACATTTTCATAATTCTCAGGAATATTATGAAACATTAACTATATACGAATGAGTCGAAAAATAATCGATGACTAATGTTTGTAATATCTGAATAATTGATTATTTTACGATCCGAGTTGAATGTTGCAGCTTTTTGAATTTTTATGAACGCTACGTTCTTCAGCATGAGCCGTTTTTAACAAGTTTTAAGTTTTCCTTGAGACCCTTAACGTAAGGATTCTGATTGCGTGCTTTTAAAAGGTGTATGTAATACAAAAGTCAAAGAAATCGAAATTTTTTCTTTTCACTCCTAATCAATTTTATCTAGTGCAAGTTAAATTATTTCTGTATTTATTATATCTAAATGGGTATTGAAAATACGTCTTCAAACACCGAATTCAGAAACGTTGAAATCGTAAAAATTAAAATTTTTGGCAAATTTCAAAATCTTTTATTGGAAATTTGTCAAATAAAAAAAACATAAATCAAATTTTATCAATTTTTATGATAATCAGGTATTGTTACACCCACCTACTGGATCTGTTGGGTAAATCTGTAGATAATCCTCTTGTAAAGAACTATATTAAACGTTTTCCTCATCACAATATAGAGGCTTCAGATAGAGGTACAGTTAATTTATTTTCTAACATACGAGTTTTTTCCTGAGCTTCCTTGACCGTAAAATGTTTACTACTCCACTAGTTCCATTATTCGTTAAGTTAACGTTGATAATATTAGGATGCTGTAGTTACTGTTCCAATCTACTTCAACCAAGCTGAACGGAAAGCCCTCATTTCGTCCGCACAATTAGGTAACAAATATGGCCTTGCAAGCAGTGCTTAGGATATATTTCATTTGATGCGGATCCGCTCTGAAAAAAAAAAAAATCTGGATCCAAAACATGAATACGTACTTATGTAAGATTTATAAATTTTTTAACAAAAGAATTTTCAAAATTATTTTTCTTCTTTTTTCCCTGTTTTTTTTTGCTAAAACCATTCAGAGATGATATTAATTTTATTTGTTAAATCTCTAAAATCTCTTTTTTCAGTTCAGATTTTGGATTTTAGAGTTTCAAATACAGTTTTTGAAAGATATTTTGCCCCTAAATCTGGATTTTTTTGCTGATCCGGATCTAGGATCCGGATTTAGGATCCGGATCTAGGAAGCCCAAAATGTTGTGGATCAAACGGATCCGGATCCTAAGCACTGCTTCCACGGGCAAATAGCTCAATTGCTTTCAGTATTATTTTATCAACCCCCCCCCTCTCCCCACCCAACTCCAATTTTAGGTTTTTTTTAATTTAGAAAGTTTATGTTCGGAAGTTTTGAATGTGCTGTGCTGTGTACTTACGTCATTTTCCTCACTATCAAACACAATTTCTTATTCTGGAAACCTTTTACTTATATCTGTGTATCTGAGAATCATCCTAATTGTATTTTTTTTATTACTTTTTTTGTGCTCCATTAAGATTGTTTTGTTAAATTGAACAATTCTTACTGTAGCAAAGTGGAAATTTTCCCTTGCTCCTCAGTCCCTAACTTACAAAATACTTGAAATGGGTTGATTTTAGTGTTTTATAAACTAATTTTGTTTCAAATGTGTGAGTTATGAGTAGGGAACGAAGTCCATAAAATTCCAATTCTGATCCCAAATGGGATCGGGGTTGAAAGTACATTTAGGGGCATGAAAATACACTTTCAGTGTTAAAGTGAACTTTGGAAAGTTTTTTGTGTGTGTGTACTACACTTCAGAAATATATACTGCATTTGGGGTGCTGGTATCAATTTAAGAGATAAAATATCATGATCACTCCCTTGCCATATACATTCTGCACTCTGCATTCTACACTTGACATCATACATCCAAGTGTATACAAGAACAACATGGTTAATTTCTTCCCCTAACATATATGTACTTTTTAGTCATAGTTTTTATTATCAATCAATCAATATTTGGGATCGTATTGGATGGAATTATTTATTGGATGGAATTATTTAGACCCCTGTACATCATCCTCATTAATGATTACATTTTTGAATTTATTTTTTCAAATTTTCATTCCATAATTCTTTTAGTTTGGTAATTTTCCTTTCCACGGATTTTTTTAATTACAAAAAAAATTATCATTTTCCCTTCCTTTGCAGTTCGCAGTCTCTAACTGACAACCTCATATAAATGAAAATGTAATTTTATAAACCTGAAATTAATTTGAATGAGTTTAAAATCAATTCCATCAATACTAGTAATACAATTTCATTTAAAACAATTTCTCCTACTTTGTTAAACCTTTAAGAATAATCATCTAAATTGTTTTTTTTTAATTAACATTTTGTGGTACTTTTCCATTCCTATAGTTTTCATTTGTCGAAAATAAACGATTTATGCTTTCTGCATTTTTAGGCGGTCTAAACGTTCTTCAGTTAATGTCAGAACCGATGTCGGTGGCATTAAACTATGGAATGTTCCGACGGAAGGAGATTAACGGAACGGTCCGGCACATGATGCTCTACGACATGGGAGCCTCTGATACGACTGTTAGCATCGTTGCTTACCAGATCGTTAAGACGAAGGAGAAAGGGTTCACGGAGACACACCCACAGGTACAGCAAGAGGGGGGGGGGGGTCAAAGGGGGATATCCAAATATTGGTAAATCTTCATCTTTAAATACGTCTTTTTAATTAACACCAAATTTTTCTGGTTTATGCCAAAGCAAACAATAAATTGTGAATTTTCTAATAAACAAATATTAATTAAAAATATTTATGCATATTATTATGTCGGTTTAGTTGGTTCTAATTATGGATTAGTTGATTAAAAACTTTTTAATTCAAAATAATTTTATTCAAAATTTGATCCGGCGGATTGTACAATTTTTTTTCTTAATTCGTTCATTCTAAATCAAATTCATAAGATTAGAGCTAAATTCTTACGATTTTTTGATAAATCACCTGATTTTTAATTGAAAAAATAAGATTCCTCTCCTCATAAAATATGAATCCAAATTAATCATTACTCGTGCTGACCGTTAGTCCAAACCCTGCACTGAGGAGTAAGAGATTCAAATGAAAACTTATAGAACTAACATATTTTAGAGGTGTACATTTTCCAAATCCCCCCACCCCCTTTTCCTTGAGGGAATAAATGAAAAATTAGAAATCAAAAAGCAGTTTTTAATCCTTATTATTCAAAAATTTTAGTTTTCTTCTTAAAATCATCTTTTTTCCCCAATTCAGCGAAAAGTCCCTGAAAAACATACAACTTTTTGGAGGGAATTATTTTTCAAGAAAATATAACATTTTCTGTTCGTTTATTAGGCTCAAGTCCTGGGAGTAGGTTATGACAGGACCCTTGGTGGGACAGAAATTACATTCAGGTAACTGAAATCATCAATATTTACTGATTATTCCCTCTCCCCCCCCTCCCCCCGTTCTGATTGGTTAGAGTGGGAGAGTTGCATACAATCGAAAACGAAGGGAAAAGTTTAAAATTTGGCGCACTGAGCGGAGCATGCTAAAAATAATTGAAATATTTGAGAGTAAATCAATTTTTTATAAGGAAATGGCGGATTTCATGATTTTATGAACATTTTTGATATAGCAAACCTTCATGAAATCATAAACCTCAGATATCATAAACCATCATGATGTCTTAAACCTTCATGATATCATAAACCTTCATGATGTCATAAACCTTCATGATATCAAATCTTTATTATCTCTAATTTACCTCAGTTTACTAGCATCTTACTAAAAGAATATCCTAAACTTCATCTATATTGTTATATTGTTCTGGTTTCGCTTAGATACCATTTTTGGTAATAAAAAGCGATTTTTAAACTTGATATTTTTTTACCATAAATGCTCGACATTTTTCACATGATCATCGTAACTGTTCTTGAAAATGTTTAAGGTTTTAGACTCTTTAACATAGCATGGCAAACTGCTCCATGGGTTTATCACTCTCACAGAAAAAGAGCTTTTTTTTCTCACGTTAGAATTGAATTGCTTTACATTTAAATTGAAACTGCAATTGGATTGTCTTGTCGGTATATTCGCTGTCTCACATGTTCTGCTGAACCAAGAAGATTCATTAACATTATCATATCCATGTAGAATTTTCCAGGTCTATATCTAGTTTTGAAATTTATTTTGATTTTAAAGATTACGAGAGTATCTTGCCGACGAGTTTGATGCTTTGAAGAAGACAAAAACCCCAGTGCGTAGTGTACCGCGCGCAATGGGAAAACTGTTGAAAGAAGCGGAGCGCGTTAAGCTGATTCTCTCAGCAAATACGGATTGTTATGCTCAGGTGCAGTTTCATTTCAATAAACAAATTAATTTGAGCACACCAACAATGTTTCCTTATTATAAATATAATAAAAGAAGAAAATTTATAAATAAAGAGAGAAGAGTAGAGTTATAATACATGTTAATTTTGATTTATAAATAAAATTATATTTTTCATCTGTTCTTTTACGTCAATTAAATCAACCCTATCCCACTGCTTTAGTTCTACTTTCATGAGTATTGAATAATTAATAATAAAGATGAACTATCACATCTTTAATTTTCTGTTCAGATTGAAAACGTAATGGAGGACATAGACTTCAAAGTTCCCGTGTCACGTGATCAGCTGTACAGCCTCGTGTCGGACATGTGGGAGCGTGTGAATAAACCGGTTCAGATGGCGCTGGATACAGCTGCCATGACAATGGATTCCATAGACCAGGTAAACATAAAACAAATTCTTTTAAAGTATGTTTTGATGCCTTGGGAAAAAACAAATCAGCACAGACAGGTTTCTCATTTGTTTGCACCCTCCCCCTCGACAAAAAACCACCACTAATGCATTGATAATGGGAAAAAATTATTTATCACTTCTGCATCTATTCTCGCACTATTGACTTTAACTTTAATAAGTTAAACCTTTTCTGTTTGACTTGTAACCGGTGTACTAGAGAAGTGGATTAACTACTTCTTCACAGTTCACCCACTTTCGCTAATTATTAATCCACGTAACAAGACCAATTCAAATTAGCACAATGAATTACTTTGCTACGTTTGATTGCCATATTTTTATAGAAAACTGTTTTTGACTACCCTTACATTTGATCTAATAAAATGTTCTAAATCTTCTTCACATTTCTTCAAATAGGTTTGATTTGATCTTATGCAATGCTCTAAATCTTCTTTTCATTTTTTTCAAATAGGTTTGATTTGATCTAATAAAATGTTCTAAATCTTCTTAACATTTCTTCAAATAGGTTTGATTTGATCTAATATAATGTTCTAAATCTTCTTTACATTTTCTTCAAATAGGTTTGATTTGATCTAATAATATGTTCTAAATCTTCTTAACATTTCTTCAAATAGGTTTGATTTGATCTAATAAAATGTTCTAAATCTTCTTAACATTTCTTCAAATAGGTTTGATTTGATCTAATATAATGTTCTAAATCTTCTTTACATTTTCTTCAAATAGGTGATACTGGTCGGTGGGGGAAGCAGAGTACCTAAAGTTCAAGAAATTTTGACCCAGTTTGTTGGACGAGAATTAGGCAAGAATCTAAACACGGACGAATCAGCCGCCATGGGCGCAGTATACAAGGCCGCCGATCTTTCCTCCGGGTTTAAAGTGAAGAAGTTTATTACAAAGGTGAAACTACGTATTATCTTTTCTATATTCAGTTTAATTTATTCTTTTCTTCTTTCATCCTTTATCTTATTCTTATTCTCAACTATTTTCAATCCGCTTATATCTAATTTATGTTTGTTAAAGATCATTGGCTTTTACGGCCATATAATTTTGTTTGAGTAGCTAGACTAAATGATAATTATAATGTACAATCTGAAAATGATTTACAATTATTTCAATTATTTTCAATACTCTCATCTAATTTATGTTTACTTTGAACGCTTACAACCTGATAATAACAGTTGTTACCAGATCAAACCCAAGATTTTGTCTTCACTGCANTGGGGTTTGATGTGATTTTTAAATCAATTATGTGAAATAAACCCTAAAATAAAATTCCTAACTGCGGCTGAAACAAATTAGAAAATTTGCATCAATTTTATTCGAGTATTTACTTCAATTTATCTTCGTTCAATTTTCCTTCAATCTTTTATCCTTTACCGAATATACTTGTCCAGGATGCTGTTGTGCTACCGATAGATGTTGTCTTTGAACGAGAACTGGAGGCAGATGAGGGAGAGGGGGCTAAGAAGATCCGTAGAACTCTCTTCTCAAGGTCAGATCTGTAAAGGGTCTGTCGACACAATATTAAGTGACCCTCCATTAAATCTCCGATTTTTAAATCCTACCCTTAGCAAACTTGATTGAGTTATCCCTATTTGTTCTCCTATAAAAATGATTAATTAAAGCGGAGACAACGAATTCAAGTGCAATTATATTTTGATATTTTTCTAATTGTTATTTATTAATCAAGGGCTAAAGATAATCATTTTAAATCGGGCATGTCAATCTCTAAATATTTGAACGAACCAAACGCGATAGTTTACCGAGCTTCATGGGCTTGAATTAGCATTTAACGCAATAAGAAGTTATAAATCTTTTAATGATTAATGACTATTTTTCTGATCATTTACTTTTTCAAAGATTTTGTAACGCTATGACATAAACAATACTCATATTTAATGGTTTGTTTTTTAAAATTTTAGAGGTAGGGAGATGGCTTTTTACTTGAAATGTACATGAAATAACTGTATTCTTATTTATTACGTTATCATTAAAAATAAATATATCTTAAATATATTGACCCTTTCTGTCCTCTAGGATGAATCCTTTTCCTCAGAAGAAGATTATGACGTTTAATAAGCATATTAAAGACTTCACCTTTCATGTCAACTATCAGGTAAAATTACAAATAATAAATTGTATCAGGAAAAAATGTTAAACGTTGAAATTAGATTTAAAAAGGTAAAATCCTTGTTGATAAAAGATTACAAAGTTAGACAATTTTCTGAACATTTATGTTTTAGGAAGGTTCTTTTCTGAAACAAATTTGAAATTTTTTTAAAATTCTAAAATTGGTTCAATTATGGTATTGAGAACTATGGCAAGAATTATTGAAAAATTGATTCTGTATGTTTGAGGCTCCTTTTCATTCATATTTAAAGTTTGCCCATAACGAACGAAAAGGATCAATAAATGGTTGCATGGCTCAAACTTGGTTGCTGGGATTATAACACTTAATGTTAAAAAAAATCATTAACACGATTTATAGCAAAAGTCAAAATTAAATTTAGATCCGGGCTGAAGAACTATTTCACTATTAGGACTTTAACCTCCTGAGGCCGAATTTAAAGAATTTGAACCACGGCTTAAATATGAGACGCGGCTCAAATATGGTTGGTTCCACTTAAAATTGTCTTCAATGTTTCAATTGAAACCAGTTTTTGGTGAATTTGAGACGCGGCTCAAATTCATTGAATTATGACTCAGGCTACCTAATAACGCCTAAAGCTCTCCCTAAAATTCATAATTTGATTTGATTTAGGATGTTGATTATCTCGGGGCCTCAGAGGTTTCCTACCTGGGCAACCTCGAGATCAGCAGTGTTCTTGTCAAGGGGGTCAAGGAGGCTCTAGATAAGAATGAAAAAATAGAGACAAAGGTATCAGGCGGAGTTGCAAGGGTATATTTAAAGAATGCTTTGGGGTTAAAATGAGAAATTGGACTTCAAGTTTTTTTAACCCTTTTTAATTCATTTCCTGTCAAAATCTTGTAATTTCCAATTCAGTTTAAATAAAATTTAACAAAAAGTAAAATTGCAATGCTGACAATAAAATAATGTTTTTAAATATAACTTATTTATGATGTGTTGGGAGTATAATCTAATTTGTTTTTATTGTAGGGAGTTAAGGCTCACTTCTCAATGGATGACTCTGGTATATTATCTTGCACTGCTCTAGAATCCGTTTTTGAAAAAACCATTTCACCTGAAGAACAGGGATATAATTATCATCATATCTAATATCTCATATTAGTTTAATGTTCCAAATTTGTTTAAAGAAAAACGTTCCAAATTTGTTTAAAGGAAACTGTTCCAAATCTGTTTAAAGGAGATTGTTCCAAATCTTTTAATGAAACTTTTCTAAGTGCACTGTATAAAACCAGTTAAAGGTTACTTACTGCTCTAAATTTGATTGCGATTAGCATGTAGTAATGTCTTAAAATGATGATTGGTTAATAGGAGAAGTTAGAGGCTGAAACCGAGGCCATTAAAGAGGACACTTGGAGTAAATTGGGTAAGATTTACAATTATATATATTATCTTATATAAATATAAAAATTGTATTTTTATTTTTTCCCCTTTTTCTTTATTTTTCCACGTTTCGCAGTTTAAAAATTTTATGAATGTCTAAACATCCAAATACGAATTATATTTTGAAGTATTTTTAAAGAATTTGATCCTTTTCCCAAAATATCCATAATTTTCCATAATACTGAAACTTAACATTATTAGTCTTACATGCGGGCACAAGTTAGTTTTATCAATCAGGGGTGTTGTGAATAGACAATTTGTCGATTCTATAATTTTATCTAATCTAGGGGACACAATTTCTCAGTTCTTCTCTACCGAAGACGGAAAGGATATAGATCCATTGTCTGAAGGAGACAAGGCGAAGGAAGAGAAGAAGGATGATAAGAAGGATAAGAAGGATAAGAAGGACAAGAAGAAGGATGAGAAGGCAGAGAAGAAGAAAGAGAAGGACAAGAAGGAAGAAGAGAAGAAGAAAGAGCCGAAGAAGCCGAAGATTGAGACTGTTAAAGAAGATCTTGAAATGGAAGAATCTAGGTAATTTTTTAATCAAAAATATTGAGTATATTCTAACTTGGTTTCATAGCAGAAAACTCGTAATTTTTCCCACGGTGGATTTAAATTTTAGATTAGTTGAATTTTTAAAGAAACCTTAGATTAAGAATTGCAAAGATTATAATATTGTTTAATATTTAGGAATGATATTGTTGCGTTGTCTGGAGACAGTTATGACAAAGCTAAGAGCAAACTAGAAGTACTGGATAAAGCAGACCGTGAAAGGAAAGCAAAGCCAAATGATTTGTTCAATTTTGGCTCATTTTGTCGATTCCCAATTTATTGTCTGGAGCTGGTCACACTGCTGAAAATGAACCCTCAGGTTTCAAGTCATAACACCTAAACTTTTTCTTTCGATTATGTTAATATGCAGGATACTGGAAAATAATCGCAATTTTTAGAAAATGCCACCTAGGGAATTTTTAGCAAATAAATTTTTGAAAAATTGTAGAAATCAAGTGCATTCACAGGTCTTAAATTAAACAAAAATCTCGTTTCAAGACTTTAATCTGCTTATTCTTGGGTTTTTGACGATATTTTTTTAACAGTATATGACATGGTCTCCAAATTTTTTTATTTTTCTGTAACAGTCATGAAACTTATTGTAGCAAAAAATCAAACCCCTGACTCAACTGACTGACTGTCAAAATTCGGCCCAAAAAAGTTTTTTTGATGTAATTTTTACTGATTTTACTTCAAAAAGTCTTTCTTAGGCAGTTATTGGGCAATTATACAGTTCACATAAGACTTTGATTTTTTTTGCTAAAACATGTCTTATTATTGTAAAGAAAAATTCACAAAATTTTGGGACTCTGCCATCAACGGTTTTAAAAATATTACAAAAAAACGCAGAATAATCTTGATTAATCTTTGAACCTACATTTACGATTGAATTTAGACTTTAAAATGCACTTGATTTTTACAATTTCTTTTAAATGGATTTAACTAAAATTCCCGAGGTGGCATTTTCTGAAAATTTAGATTATAACTCAGAAGCCTGCATATTAATATATTTCGAAGAAAAAATTAGGTGTTTTGACTTGAAACCTGATGGTTCATTTTCAGCAGTGTGTGGTAGAATCTTATAAATATTTAGCCTGGAAACTCAACTTTTCCTGGAAAATTTATTTTCTCTAAAAACTAATACTGTCAAGGTAAAATTTGTAAACCAAATGTGGAACATTCCTGGGGTTCTAACGAGATTCCTTATCAAAATTAGAGGTAAATTGGTCTAGGGGTTTATGAAGTTGGATACAAATTAGAGGTAAATTGGTCTAGGGGTTTATGAAGTGGGATACAAATTAGAGGTAAATTGGTCTAGGGGTTTATGAAGTGGGATACAAATTAGTACGCACTGCAGTTAGGTTTATAGATGAGCATTTTCAACCTATTGAGTAAATAATGTACACTGTACAGATCATAAGATTTTTTCTTTTCACATACAAACAGATAGACAGAAAAAATTACTAATTTACACACAAAAAAGCCGTTGCATAATTGATAAGTTAAATTACAACAATTCATTGCGCTCTCGGATTTAGTTTTAAGTTAAATATCCGTACCTGATTCAAACCGCGGACTTAAATTGTTTTTTATTTTAATTGCTTTTTTAAGATTAAAAAAATACTCTGAAATGTTATATTTTTTTATGAAATTTAGAAATTGTTAAATGCCGAAAACCTTGATTAAATATCTTAATTTTTTTATTATTTGTCTGAAACGATTTTGGTTTTGTGGATAGAGAGGCAAGGGAGACTGCTCTGAATGAACTACAATCCTTCCTATTTGACCTCCAGGACAAAATGTATCAGGTAAGGTAGACAAAAATTCCTTTAAAGGGACTAAGCGTAATTTCAAATCGCCTTCTACGGTAACTTTAAACCCTTTGCAAGTTTGTCGAGCACTGAGATTTGTGCGTGTAAACTTATCGAAACTTGCTCGCCTTGTATTCAGCTGCGGTCTAAACTCAACGCAGCGCACACATGAATTTGTAGCTGAATACAAACTGGTTTCAATAAGTTTACAGACACATATTTATGTACTTGTACAACATACAAAGGTTTAATGAAATGTTTTCCGTTGTATATCCGGTATTGCCATCTTAGCATGGAATGTGATTTAAAATTTCCTAACAGTCCCTTTAATTTTGTACAAAAGCATGAACTATGATGACACTTTAGAACGGGGGGGGGGGGAACGGGTTTATAAAAACGGCTTTTTAACGGGGACGTCACTCAGTCTGACCAATTTGATTCAAAGGCAAGTTAGGTGTTATCTGTTAGTCATTAATTCATCACAAACATTAGAACGAACCCCCTAGCCTACCTTTAATTCAGACTTAATGTTTAAAATGAGTATGAAGAAGCTAGTACTGAAGATGAATTTAAGTAGATAAAGATGTATTGCTCTAGCATATCTGAATGTTTAGGATGAGTATGAAGTAGCAAGTACTGAAGATGAACGTGAGAAGATAAAGAATGAATGCTCAACTATATCTGAATGGTTGGATGAAGAAGCTGGAGTAGACTCAACTCTTGAGGATTACACATCTAGGTAAATTTTACTATTATTAAAATTTAAATAGGAAGGAGAGTCGCTTGAATACTATTAATACTAATCTAATAATGAAAACAACAATTTAAGGATGAAGATTCTGAAAGAAGGTTCTGCTGCTCTGTTTGCTCGTGTTCGGGAGCATAGAGAGCGCCCTGAAGCTCTGGATATGCTGACACAATCTATTAGTAATAGCAGAGAGTTTTTAGTCAAATCAAGGTAATCATGTCTATCTATATAAGTAGTAATCTCTGTTTGTTTGTATGTCCCATCATAACTCGGGAACTCCGCACCAAAGTTGCTTCAAATTTTGAGGAACTCTGTCACAAGCATCAACAGTTTTATGTGTCCGACAAAATAATAATAAAGTACTTATCTTACAAAGAAATAAGTGCAATTTTGTGTTCTTTATTTTCTATTTATACCATTTTTTATTTAATCTTGGAATACATGTCAATTCTGTCAACTAGTGGGAGAAAATTTTTCTCCCATTAGTTGACAGAGTTGATATGTATTCCGAAAATGTTGTCTTCCTAGTTATATTTAACATTTGTGACGTCATGTATAATTGGAACATTTCTCTGTTGCCACCTAATTGTACGGGATAATTTATCTGGGTTGACTTCAAACCTAATTGTACGGGATAATTTATCTAGGTTGACTTCAAACCTAATTGTACGGGATAATTTATCTAGGTTGACTTCAAACCTAATTGTACGGGATAATTTATCTGGGTTGACTTCAAACCTAATTGTACGGGATAATTTATCTAGGTTGACTTCAAAAAAGAAAACTTGTTTTAAGTCAAAGCTGGGTTCCCAAGCTAGAATTTATATACATAAAGTTGTAATCTCTGTCTGTTTGTATGTCCGATCGTAACTCATGATTTTTTGAAGATAACTCATTGGTCAACTTGGTTGAACCACATGAGTGTTCTTAGCTTGATTTATGACTTTTACAGAGATAGTTTTATATCAAGGCAAAGTTGGGTTTCAAAGATAGTAATCTCAAAGGATCAGAGTTATATTACGATATTAAAACCTTTAAAAGGATAATGAGATGTTTGAATAATGCTTTTTGAACATTTGACTTGAGCTGTTAAAGGCATATTGTAATGAACATGATCTGGCAAAAACATCCGTGTGTTTAACGAAAGGGTAGTTCAGTAATTAGAGGGAAAAAACTTTGAATTCCGTGATTTTTGCTCAGAAGTTTCCGCTAATATTAAATTTGAATTAAATATATATCTGTATATCAAGTATCTCAAAAGCAGTGCTTAGGATCCATTGGATCCGCAATTTTTTGGGTTTCTGGATCCGTATCCAGATCCGCAAAATTAAGCGGACCCACAGATCCGGATTCACTGGTTAAAATATCTGCAAAAATCTAAAAAAATATTTCGCTCTCGAAACCCAAGTCTTGTTGAGAAAAAAAACAAACAAATTATCAAAAATGTCTTCATTTAGTAAATCTTGAAGAAATGTTCATCAACTGGAATGGATCCATTTTTTTCCAGTGAGGATTCAGGATCCTGGATCCAGATCCGCATCAAAATCAAAATCAAATGGATCCTAAACACTGCTCTAAAGGATATATCAGATTTTGATAGATATAATAAAGACATGGTAGACGTATCTACATTAAAAATCGTCATCTATGGATTAAAATTTGATGTGGGAATCCCAATATTGAGATATTGAAGCTATGGGATTCAAGTAAAAAAATTCGACTCTTTAACTAAGATATTTATCCTGTTCAGTAACATGACAGGGGAGGACGGGTTCTTCAAGGAGAAGGAGCTCGAGGTTATGGAGAAGAAGGTGGTTGAGGTTGAGAAGTGGATGGAAGAGAAGGTAGGAGATCTAGTGGGTGGTTAATAGGAATAGAAACTTGACCTATACCCCCCCCCCCCCCCC